AGAGAAAGATGAGAACGCGCGCGCGGTCCTCTCTCGCTTCGACGGGATGGGAATAAGGAGGAGTTTATTTTCAGCGGCCATATGCGCCGGTTATTTCGACAGTTTGCGCGGCCACCCTAAATAGCGGCTGCGCGGCCTCTCGTCTTCGAGGAAGACGTTCCTCGGCTTGACGTTCTGTAGCAACGTGAGAGGTCGCCATCGATTTGCCCCTCCTGCGTGGATTCCGCACGCCTTCCGGCGAATTGCACCTTCGCGAGCACGCTGCGTGTGCGCTTATGAATGATCGTTCGATTATGGGGGAGAGAATGAAACGCGCGCACTCGGCGTGTGCGACTTCGCTGAAATATCTGAAATATTCATGCGAATTCAATGAACCCGGCCTGGTGGCATGGTAAATCCGGTCGTGCGTGTTCCAACGTGCTGCCTCCGCGAATCAATGTATTTCTAATTGAACACTGGATCGTTAGAATAAGATATTCCCGGTGCTGCGTGAATCAGATTTGCGCGTGTATATATTTTCAACCGCGCGCGCCGCCGGCTAATGTCATGTCTGTCCTGTCGCGGGTGTAGATTCGACCTGATTGAGACCTGCCGTCGAAGTGAGGTGAGTGTGCTTTAATGTTGGGCAATTGTGCGCTCTCCCCTCTCCCCTTTCTCTCGTCGAGAAGAAAAGAACTCTGCGGGTCCCAGGGTTCCAGAATAAAGTAAATGAGAATCGACTAATCAGCCTGGCGACCGGCCTCCGCTGGCGCGACGCGCTTCCCCCAGCGAAGAACGTCGTCGTATTTTCGATTTTGAGAATGGCCCATGCGCTCGCGCGAACGCGCACACGCGAGATAGAGATCTCGGCCTACCGAAATAGATTATCGCCGGCGTGCATGAGGCTTCGCCCATTCTCCATTCGCTAAGTATAGCTCGCGACAAGCCGAGAGAAAGAAACCGGGCGCGTCATTCCGGGCTCGCGCGTCGGTCGGAAGCGCGTCGTCTCGGACGGGGTCGGAAGAACGGGCGCGAGAAAGAGAGAGACAGAGAGAGAGAGAGAGAGAGAGAGAGAGAGAGAGAGAGAGAGAGAGAGAAAGCGGACAGGCAACGGAGACGGCATAAACGTATAATTGGCCGCACTTAAATCTCTATAACGCGGTAGTAAAAATGCGCGGTACGCCGCGTAAATCAACACGCGGACGATATAGCTTCCCTGCCCCGCCGTTGCCGTCGTCGCTACCGCCGCCGTCGCCGCCGACGCGGTTGTTTCGCCGAGAGCGTCCTCGTAAACGCGTCGTACAGGGCGCGTGAATACACGTGTGAATGAACGCGTTCGCGGGTCGGCGTGCGAAATTTCCGCCGCGCCGCGCAACTGTGGCACGCACGGCCTTCGACCGCGAAACGGTCCGCGCGAAATCGTTCGGTGTGCGTGTGCGGATGCGTGGGCGGAATTCGCGGTGTCAGTCTCCAAGCTGAGGAAAGATCGATGGCGCGCGCGGCCGTCGGAGTATCGATGCGGCTAACCGTTTTCATTGATCGCCGCCACGTCGGCGACACGGTATAGAGTCGGTGTAATTGCGCACCGCGGTAGAACACAGACGAGGTAATTTCCCCGCTCGATTTTCGATAGGTGCCCTCTGTGCCTCTTTCATGCGGCGGAGTCTCGCTCGATACGGCCGCGGCGGCGATAAGCGGCGGTATTTTCGCTCGAAACAATTTCGTGAAAATAGCGCCGCTCGAAGTCGCGGGTGCCGGTATTTCGCTCGAACTTGGAGTAGATTCCGTATGAGCGGATGCTTCGATCGATTAGAGCGAATGCGTTCCTGCGGAATCACTCTTCGGGTTTCGAGTGAAAGTATTCACTCGGCGGTTCGGATTCGCGGGTTCGGTTTCACTCTGTGCAAACGGGAAATCGTTGCACTTTGGCTGACACCACGCTCGTCGAGTGAAATTTCGCTCCGGGAAATTTTTAGGGAGTATTATTGAACGAACGAATTGAGAGGAACACCGCGACAGAGAGAGACGCGAGTTTGCGACGTAATGCATCCCCCCTTCCCCCCCCCCCCCGTTTAAAAAAATAAGAGCGCATATTCTCGGATTCTGTCTGCCGTACGCTTACACGCGAGTGTGCGGAGGTGTGTGTCTCCAGACTGAACGGAAAGTCGGCGTGGGCTGTCGATCGCGATCCTGATCCCGTGACGTGAGCGCGCGCGCGCGCTCGATTGCGACGACGAGAAACGACATTACATTATCGATGACAGCCTGTGGGCGGATGATCGCCCGCGAAATACCAGTGCGGCTGGATTACATGTGTGCATCGACGTGCCGGCGCGAATATCTAAAGTCAAATAAGATTTTAACGACCTGTCGCGCGGAAGAGCGTGTCGTACGTTTTCGAATGAATTATCGCGACCGTAATGCGACATTCGTTCTTCTTTCTTTTTTTTTTTTTTTTTTCGTTGCCCCGATGCAGCTTCGCGCGATAAATTGCGATATTTTCAAGTGTTTCCAGAGAACCTGCTCCAATCACAGTTTTCCCGCTTTCTGCTTTTAAAAAATATATAAGCAGGATGAAAGAGAGAGAGAAGAGAGAGAGAGAGAGAGAGAGAGAGAAGTCGCGCAGCGATATAAATGCGATCCACAGGATTGAGCAGAGAAAGAGAGAAAAACGACCGCGCGATCAGAAAGAAATCGGTCCGCGTCGGGCAGACAAGACTAACGACACCCTGACGAAGGAGAGAGCGTTTTCCTTCTGCGGGACACCGCGTGATACGTCGCCCGTGCAGAATCGCGTGGCGCGGCGCGGCGCGGCGCGGCGCGGCACGGCGCAGCACAACACAGTACGGCCGGTACGCTACATTAACCCGATTCAGCGAGTAAATTAACTGCAATCAGAGGGACGTTCCCGTTAGCCATTCCGTTATTCCGCTAGCCAGCCGCCGTTCGTTCTGCGAGCTCGCAGGCCGCCCTCTATTCGACTGTGCGACTACGCCATTAACGGGCTCGCAGGGAAGCTAAGCGTCTGACGTCGTTTTTGTCGAATGCGCAACGACTGGTCGGCCGGGTATTACACGTCGCGGGTGGAAAACACAAGCTTCGCCAGCGCGCGGGAAGAAGCCGCCACCCCTGGTGAAGCGGAAGCGAGCGATTCGCCCTCGAGAGGACAAGCGAGAATCATCGCGGCGCAAACGCTTCTCGGTATCTCGCGACTCTGTCGTGAAATGTTACTCGCCGATTTCGACAGCGCGCGCGATACTCTCGGCGGCACCGAGCGTATCAAAGCTCCGCGACTTCGTGCCGTCGTTTAGCGCCTTTGGCAGCGCGGCGGCTGGCATCGATGGTCGATTCGCCGGGAAATCGCGCCTCATAGAATTGGTCGGATCACCGGGACGAATCGCGTCACGACGCGATGAATGCCCATCAGGCCGGGATATCGGCCGAGCCGAGGCGAGGCGAGGCGCCTTTTCTCGTTTTCTCTCCCCCGGAGCGTTTCGGGAAAGCGGCACACGCGAGAATACGTCGTACGTGGCAGCGATTTCCATCGATCTCCCGTCGTTCCGGTCCGTCCGCTCCTACGACGGACAAATTTTTCGTTCTGCTCGCCCTCTTCGCGTCCGCCCTCCCGACGACGACGGCGACGGGCCGCTCGACGAATTCAAAGTTAATCTCGGGCACGAGACCGTTCTTTGGCGAGAGAGAGAGAGAGAGAGAGAGGGGGGGAGGGAGGAGGGGGGTCGGCGCCCCCGGGCGACCTGTCATCGTGAACCCCCTGGGAGAGCGCCGGGCTCACCCTGATCTCTCTGTTACGATAGAACCTTGGGAACCGGAGCCTCGGGCACCACGATAAGGCTCGGTCATTTATAATCCGCCGGCGTAAGTAGCCCTCCGCTCTCCTTTCTGGCTGATTGCGAGGAGAAGGAATAAAGGGAACCTCGAACTTCCGGAGCCCGGGCTCGTCCGGGAGATTGATTCGCCGGGACATCACGGGAATTCCGGCGAAATTGCATTTTATTCCATAATCGCGCATCCGAGACCGTCGCGGTGACACGCTAACGATCGCGTGGCCGCTGTAGCCGTATTATTAGCGATGAAAATTCGCAGTCGTGAGGAATATCAGGAAACACATCGCGTGTTTTACAACGGTGGGGTTTTGTACACTTTTTTTCAATGCGATATGCTAACTAACGAGCGTGGCTCGGACCGCGTTGGAAAATATAAAAAAGATTGGCGGAGAAATGACAGCGGCGTGTCCGGAGAGCATAACTAAAAGCATCTTAATATCTCTCATTACTGTCTCGTTCCACGAGTCCCCGGTGACCGCGCAATTAAAAAGCTAAGATTGATAAATGACGGGGATTTAATGCGCGAGTGTGACGGCGAGGGGTGAGGTGAAGGGGCACGGAGGCGGGCGGGGATGCCCGGCCGAGCCGAGAACGAAGCGTACACGGGGTTCGCCGGGTCGAAGGGGCCCGGGTGATTGCGGGTGGCTTAATGGTGTTTGTATGCATGGGAACCAGCCCTAGGGTCGAGGCAGTTATCGCTCACCAGGGTATGGACCGAAAATCGGGGCGCGCGTTTAAACGCGTCGGAAATCCTACTTCTACGTTCACCTCGCGATTTAATCGCGAGCCCACTGAAAACGCGATTTCTCTGGGCTTGTTGCTTTCGAAAACGAAAAAATATTGAAAATCATCATATTTATACGTGCTTACCGTATTTTTTTATATTTAGGATCACGTAGAAAATCAAGCGAACCTTGCTATCACATGAATTATCGTAGCTATTTGTTACAAAATATTATTTATTACCACTTGAACGTGCTATTGGTTGTGTCATAAACAGCCTCTGAAACGGACGCTAATACACATTCAACTCGCGCGACTTTGGTTTTTCTCAAGTGTTCTCAAGTGTTGCGACTGAAACAAGAGAGAAAGAAACGAGCATCGGCGGTTGTATCGTAGACTCGCGTTGTTTACCGAGACGGCACGTGATGACCTCTGGCTCTCTACTTATTGTTGCAGGTGACGCGAGTAACGCGAGTATCGGTAGTGGCGAGGGCACGGGCGAGGAGGACGACGACTCGTCGGGCAAGAAGAACCAAAAGAAGCGAGGAATCTTCCCCAAGGTCGCGACCAACATCCTCAGGGCGTGGCTGTTCCAGCATCTCACGGTGAGTACCTTCTTCATCATACAGTGCGCCGACGACGTTCCTGTCTACGAAACGCCTCCGGAAAAGCGTCTCTCGCGACGTCGCAGGAACAGATTATCACTCGTCGCAACTCGCGGCGGCGGACGAAGGAGAAGAAGCGATCACGACGCGGCCGTCCGCGGTCGAAGCCCCAATTTTGGCTCGTTAAGCCAAAATTAAAGCCATCGGGAAGTTTCGAAACCGTCGTAGCCCGTCGTCGAGAACGCACGTCAGGATGAAAGTGCGCGTCCTGCTACCGAACAGTCACGCGTGCCAATCATTCTCATTTTGGTCCGAGAGAGCGAATTTATTCTCCAGCGATGCGTTTATCTCTCGCCTCTGCGTTACCTTTGCCGCAATCCCGCATCGATCTTGTTCGGACCTCTCTTGCTCGAATTCGCAGGAGAGAAACGGAAGCGCCCGGCGCGGCGTCTCTCCCCTTGACGCTCCCTTGACGCGCGCGCGCGCGCGTCAATGTCAAAGTCCGCGGGCAATTAGCGAAAAAGGCACGCTCCGTCGAGCAAAAGAAGGACGTTTGAAAAAGATCGGGAGAGCGAGAGACAGAGAGTGAGAAACGACGGGTGGCTAATCTCGTAATGCCGAGATAAGGAACGATCCGACGTAGCTGTAGTAGTACGGATGGCGGCGGCGGTGGCGGCTCCCGATTCCGCCGCCCGGTGCCCGAGTATCTAATGATTCACGGGTAATCTGAGCCGCAAAAAGCGCAACGCGATTAAGGGGGAGAAACGGCAGCGGCAGCCGCCGAACCCCGGCGTCGGCGGTCGCCGCAGTTGCGTAACGTTGCGCGGCTATTCCGAGCGCGATACATTGTCCCTCGCTCCGCAAGCTCTCTCTCTCCCCCCCTCTCTCTCTCTCTCTCTCTCTCCCTCTCTCTCTCTCTCTCTCTTACTCTCTCACTCTCTCACTCTCTCACTCTCTGCCGCTCCCTGTCTTTGTCTCTCTCGCTTGCTTGCTCGCTCGCTCGCACTACGGACACCCCATAGATTTCGGGTGTGATCAGGTTACCTTGCGCGAGAGCGGTAATCATATTGCAGCTCGGTTAATGCCATTACCGCACTGAGGGGGTTGGCAGCCACCCTCGAAACCACCCTGCAGCCACCTACCCGCCATCCCCCGTTGCCCGTCGCCCGTCGCCCGTCGCCGTTACCCCGCGCTGTATCGCGGCCTCAGCAACCCCCTAACAACGTGTATTGGATATGACGTCGGGGATAGTGGGTTCATGGTTTAATGCATATACGCTGTTTGCAGGATGACGATACCGCGCTCGCGCGCTCGTAGAAAGACGCGACCGCGCGGTCGGCGCTCCTCCTACTCTCGGTTAATCGCGTCGTCGAGAGCTCTCGCGAGCGTTAACGGCCTCGTACGCGATGCCCAAGTTAAAAGGATTTTAGTGTAAACCGGCGACGGTGGCGGCGCATCGGGACTCGATGCGCCGTCGTCCCCCGACGACGCACGGCCGGGGCCGGGGCCGGGGCCGGGGCCAGGGCCGAGTTCTGATGTGTCTGTCGATTCGTTCAAAGTTTGTTTCGATGTACGTACGTACCACGCGCGCCCCCGGAGCCCGCAGAGTTTCAGCCGATACGAGCGCGCGCCCCGTATAATCCCCGGCGCGTCTTGCGCTCGTTAAACCCCTTACGTATTTATCAGCTGGCGTCCTCGCGTCTCGGCCTCGGCGTCTCTTTCTCACGCGAAGACTCTCCGGCGAATTATTTATTCCGAGAGCCGTGTATAATCTCAGCATTGCAATCGCGTCAGGATTCCGACGCGACACGCTTGAAATCCAGGGTGCAGTGAGGGAAGTACCTTCGCGGATGCGCGACGTTCGTATATGTATACCTCTCTCGTTCGCATATTTGAAGTTGATCTTCGTAAAAAGACAGAAACGTACGTTCAGTGCGTAATGACGAAAAAACGTTGGCGAGTCGCGAGAACTCGCGGCGCGCTCGTCTCCGCGGCAAGAGAAGGAGAGAGAGAGAGAGAGAGAGAGAGAGAGAGAGAGAGAGAGAGAGAGAGAGAGAGAGAGAGAGAGAGAGAGAGAGAGAGAGAGAGAGAGAGAGCGAGCGATTATACGGTACCCATCGCCAGAATTACGGAGCTTTTTCGCGACAGTCGTCTCGGCGAGCGCCGCATTCGTCTCGGCGTTATTACGAGCGATTAAGCGACTATACCGCGGCCCGGAATTCATTCGGTGCGCTGGATACATATTACACCTCAAGGGGAGTAACTGGCGCGAGCCCCGACCGTGTATTTACCCGAGTGCCAAGGTCTTTAAGTCCCCCTCGTGACGTCTCGCGTCCTTCCCTTCGCCCCGTTGCCTTTCTTCTTTTATTCCTTCTTTCCTACGTCGAGCGAATTACGACTTCGCGATTCTCCGTTTAATGTCCTAATTTCCTGCCGCTTTCCTCGACGAAGAACCGACTACGACGACGGTGCGACCGAGTCTCCACGATCCTCAGGGAGGGGTCGACAAACCCGTCTCATCGGCGCTTTTTTCGCCGTGAACGTTAGTACGTATATACATGTGTGTGTCGCTCGAGCCGCGCATAATTGTCGGCGCATCAACAATCCGAAGATTCGCGGAAAATTATGGCGCACCCGGCGAAGTTGGTCGCGACCGTGGCTCGGGGGGGGGGCCGACGCGCGGCGGCAGCAGGTATCCGCCATAAATTCGTAGTGTCCGACGCGAATACGCCGATCGTCGCTCATCCGCGCTTTCGTCGTATGGCCGGCGCGCATTGCCGTCGGGAATTCCAGGTCGTGTGTTCGGCCGTGCCGAACCGTCGTTTAACCTCGCCGCCGGTGAAACATTCGGAATCGCGACGTCTCGCGCCAAGGAATTCGTTGGGGCGCGCCAATGGTCTGTCCCACTTCGTAGCAGCTAGTCTGCATTGACACGGTAGACGGGAAGCAGCCGAGCGCACCGCGGCACGCTTGAATAGACATAGTTTATGTATACACATAGTTTAGGTAGATGTGGAGGGCCGTGGGGAGGGACAAGTCGACAGAGGGAAATAAGTGGCGCTGAATGGAAAAGCGGATATCAAGGAGCGCGGTATTAAAACGTTACAAACCGAAAAGGTCTGGCGAAAAAGAGAAAGAGAGGGGGGGGGAGACCGGACAGTGCGAGAAAATTTGCAACATATAATTTCGACGAGGAAAATATAATTTCGTCAAAATTGACGAGGGCGCAAAGAGGGCACAAAGAGGGCACGTCGCGAGGAAAGAGGATAGAAGGGAGGGTGGAAGGGAAGGGGGATGTGAACGACAACGCTTCGCCTATTCAATGCGGCTTCGATATGAATTGGAGATTCGAGAGGAGAGAGAGAATGAATAAGGACCGCGCGCGCGCGTCCAAGTACAGCCTGCAATATTATATCACGAAGCGTGCTTTTCGAGTGAAGGAGCGCGATTGACTGAGTGATTGTTCTCGACTCGGGTTACTCGCAGACGTCGAACGGGAGGCTATTAATATTATTGCTCAATTCTCTGTCTTTCTCCCTTCGATCGCGTGCACTTCCTTATCCGCGGTACATCTCGCGGGCTCGCGGGCGCGCCGGCGATTATTAATCAACTTGGATATTAGGCAATTTCGCGCGAGGAAACGGATGCGATTGGCCGAGGAGACCATCTATAATTGTTGGCGCTCTTGTAAGCCTGCCTCGAGTCATAAGTTACGTAGGCAGATAGCGACGCGAAAAGTCGAATAGCGACCTTTGAGCCGACACTGCGAGATGGGGAGAGAGAAAGGGAGAGGAAGAGAGAGAGAGAGAGAGAGAGAGTATAAAATACGATAAAAACGAAAAGAGGGCATTTATTATCACCTGAAGATGGATTAGAACAGATAGGGAAAGAGAAAACACCACTCCCAAATAGTCGACGTATCGCGCCAAACGAAGTTCCCGCTGCGTATACAGGACAATATGTGGTGCAACTGGAGATTAATGGAATTTCCTAAAAGCGAGTTTATGTATTCGTTGGCGCGGATCCCCGCGTGCGCGCGCGTATTTTGCGGGCCGTGCGTTTCGCTGACTCGGCGATATTTCCGAAAATCGCGACGCGCTTGCCAATGCACGACGAAACTTTCGTACGACACCAAACGTCCGACGAAGGTCGCCGTCTCCGTCTCTTTTTCTCTTCCTTCCAGCGGATTGTTTATCGCCGCCGTATGAATAATGTAGGAGAAGTTAAGTGCATCGAGTCTCCCGGGAGGAAGTCGATGGTGATCCCACTCGCTATAAGTACCGCCGCTTCATGCGCGTTCGCGGAGAAGCGCGGATCTTTCTCCCTCTTTCGATGGTGTCCGTTCGGATGCGCGCTCTCTCGCTCTCGCTCTCTCTCTCTCTCTCTCTCTTCCTTTTCGTCTTCCTCTTTCTTTCTCGCTCTCTCCTGTTGTCATTTTGAAAGCCATCCACCCCTCGCTGTCAGTCCGACCGTACGTACGTACGTCCGTTCCACGTACAACCGGCGCACCGACCAACCAACCAACCAACCAACCAACCAACCAACCAACCAACCAACTCTGCGACCCTCCCCAAGTTTAATTAGACGGAAGAGGAGCATACATCATGGTCGACTCCGTGTCCCGACCTTCCCCGGACGGCGCAGTTGGGCTTTCCAGGATTGTGGGTACCGACCTGGTACTTCCCCCTCGTCGTCCTTTCTCGTGTACACCTTCGGGCACGACGTTGTATAGTGCATCTGCCGGTGCGGAGTTTCGTGAAATACCGTGCAGTTCTCGAAAAAGAATCGGCCTTTCTCCTTTCTCTTCTTTCTTTTTGCACACGGATCGAGCTGTGGAATTCAAGTCGCAGGTACGGATGGACGCGCGAGACCCCGGCTTCGTTTCGATAAATTATAACGTGCTGTTCGTTTTACGCTTCGTTCGCAAAGTAATCACGCGGGGAGTACTCGCGAGGTTCAATTTTTCAACTGGGAAAGACTCGCAAATTTCTCGTCACGTCGCTGCCAGATATTTCGGATATATCCTTTTTTATACGCTAAATTCAGCGCGCGATAAATATTATCAGTCAGCGGACGTGTGCAGACTGGAGAGTGCAGCGGAGGAGAGCAACGAAATTGAAGGTGTAGCCCACATATATAATCCATTTTAATTTGCTCGACAGATGTACAATAGCTTCTTCTCTCTTTCTCTCTCTGTCGCGCGGTTCCCGCGCTCCTTTGCTCCTTTTTTCTTCGCCTT